CACCCACCATCCCAAGTTAACACCCTCCTATTTTTACCAGCTAAAGAAGGTATAAAGGCACCCCCTACTGTAATTTTTAAGTCCACTGTGTCCATTCTGTAACAACACCAACAAAAGCACACACAACAATAACCAATTTCAGTAATTACAGTAAACAACAAAAACCAATTCACCAATTACAGCAAGTAAAAGCAATTCACATTGACTATGCACTAAATTAACAGTAACCAAGTAAATCTAATTAACTAATTATTTAACAAATGCACACTCTAATTCAGTCAAAGATTCGCATAATTAGGGTTTATAATACTTTAATTCACAGATTCCCCAAAAAGGCATACTTTACCCCAATTGACAACCATAAATCCAACGAAATGTACTAATAAAGGGTTAAAGTACCTCTTGTAGTCAGGAATCTCGATTTCTGTCAGCAAATTACCAAGCTTTTGGTCCCCTCACCCTGTGGAAGATGACAAGAGAAGCTGATGTGTTGCAATTTTGTGGTTCCAGCTCGATTTCAACCACCCAAATTGATCTAGGGTTTCAGTTTTTACAGAGAGAAAGAGAAAATTCAAAGGAGAGAGAAGCAGTTACAGTGAGAATCAAGAAAAATCAAAGGAAAGAGAGACGAAAATTGATGAGGAAGTGAGAAATTTGGTGAGACATTGATTATGGAAGGTGGAAGGTGAGAAAAGGAGGAGACAGAGGGAAATCGATTTTAAAAGAATTAAATTGGAGGGAAGTGACAGTTAACTGGGCCCCACAAGCGTTTTCCGTCACCTGAGCGAGCTCAGATGAGGTGGTAAAACTGATGTTTAATTTTTTTATGAGGTGGTAAAGTAAATGTTTTTTTTTTGGAGGTGGTAAATTCGACAAAGTCATTATTTGAAGGTGGTAAAAATGAAAATACCCTTTTTTTTTTTTTGAAAAGCTCCAAGAGCATATATTAGAAGAAAGGCTTAGCCAACATCAAACTCAGCAAGGGAGGCTACCCCTGGCGGAAAATTATCCACATACAGCTTCTCAATACCATCAGGTGGGTATTGCCATGCCATAAGGTGAGCAACACAGTTTCCCACCCGTTTGATATGAGCACAACCAAAGCTATCAAAATCCCTACTCATTAAACGAACATCATCAATTACAAGGTCCAAAGGAGTCTTGCCTTCTCTTGATGAATTGATCAGCTTGGTGACGGTAATGGCGTCAGATTCCAGCTCCACCTTCCCATACCCACACTCACTTGCAACCTGGAGACCCATTCTAGCAGCCATAGCTTCGAGCACTTTGACAGAGGGCATACCTGCAATTCAATTCGCCTTACCTTCGCTGCCACCACAGTCCCCTGCTCATCCCTCAACACAGCACCAATACTAGTAGTGTGTTCATTAATGACAGCAGCATCGGAATTGATGCGAATAAACCCAGCAGGGGGCGGCTTCCAGTCACACAGCAGCAGGTGAGCTAACACTCACAACATTACAATACTTCTTATAATCCTTCACCAGTCTCAGGAAGCCCAAAACCCCCACATCTCTGCTCTGCCATGGACTATCAAACACCACAGAGTTACGGTATGACCATGTAGCCCACGCAAAGGCAGCAAACTCCAACAACTCACTCTTGCTCAGCTTTCCTTTCACCCACGCAAATCTGTCAAAAAAACTCACACTTGGTGCATCACGAAGTAAGTCAGCGAACGGGGAATAATTCCACACTTGGCTCACATTTGGGCATAGAAATATCGCATGAACAATACTTTCTTGCGAATTATGGCACACTCCACACAAACCATTATCCCTGACATGTCTTTGCTGCAGTCTGCCCATTGTTGCCAAAGATTCCGTACAAGCTCTCCATAGAAATTGACACAATTTAGGAGGACCACCAATATTCCATATCGAATTCCAGATTTCAGCACTGTCACCTCCGAAACGCTCAGACCAGCCACGCACATGACCCATCCTAGCTTGCCAACCAATAAGCTGATTTTGTAGAGTACATCCCATCTGTAGTAGGCCACCAATACATAGAATCCGATACATTATGTAAGCTCAAGGGAATTCCCTGGACTACAGCAATGTCCTCAGCAATCAAGTGTTGCTGTAAAGCCCCCTCATCCCAGCAATGTCTGTCATGGTCAATTAAATCTGCTACACAAAGGTCAGCGGGACTATCCACATTCAATGTAGGAATTTTAATTCCGCTGTCACTAGGCAGCCAAAAATCCTCCCAGGCATTAATCTTTCCACCATCACCTACCCTCCGCTTTAATCCATCTAACAAAATCGACTTCACACCCCAAATACTCCGCCACACAAAGCTCGGGTCGTTGCCCCTATGTGAAGATAAGAAGTCACTATTCTTAAAGTATTTAGCTTTAAGAACCTTAAAGATGAGGGACTCCGATTATTCATAAGTCTCCAACCTTGTTTCGCGAGAAGAGCTTGGTTAAAGGTTTTGAGATCCCTAAAACCCATTCATCTTGCGTTCCGTACTAGAAGATCCCCACCAAAAGCGAGCAATCATAGCATGAATTTCATCAATGAGAGTATCCGGAATATGAAATAACCCCATCATATAAGTAGGAATCGCTTGAGCCACCGCTTTAATCAACACCTCCTTCCCGGCTTGAGAGAGCAATTTTTCCTTCCATCCTTGCATTTTCTTTCAAATTCTTTCCTTGAGACAAGCAAAAACCGCTTTTTTCGACCTTTCGATAATAGTGGGGAGCCCTAAATATTTCTCATGTTTCTCAACTTGTTTGACACCAAGGACCGCAAGTATATCCATTCTCCTCATAATATCCACACATTTACTAAAGGACACTTCAGATTTATCAAAATTAATTTTTTGCCCAGATGCTCTTTCATATATGCCAATAATGTCAGCAATTTTCGAGCATTCCTGAAGTGTAGCTCTAGCAAATAAGATACTATCATCCGCAAAAAACAAGTGAGATACCCTAGGAGCACCCCAACAAATTTGCGCACAAGTAATAAGTCTAGCATTAGCCGCCTTAGTCAACATAGCAGAGAAAGCTTCGGCACATAAAAGAAACAAGTTAGGAGAAATCGGATCTCCTTGTCGTAACCCACAAGTAGGGACAACCTTTCCATCAATTTTCCCATTCCATTAGAAAGAGTATGTCACCGAGGACAAACACATTAACATTTTCTCTATCCAAGCTCTACAAAAACCCATACGACACATTACTTTTCCAAAAACCTCCATTCAACCCTATCATACGCCTTACTCATATCAAGTTTTAGAGTCATAGTTCCCGCTCTACCCTCCTTTCTTCGTTTCATAGCATGAAAAATTTCAAAAGCCACTATAGCATTATCAGTTATCAACCTCCCCGGGACAAAAGCACTCTGATGATGAGAAATAAGACCAGGAAGAATAACTTTCAAACGATTTGCAAGGACTTTCGAAATTATCTTGTAGACAACATTGCATAAACTAATAGGGCGAAACTCAATCATTTTTTTGGCTCCTGACATTTCGGAATAAGCACAATACAAGTCTTATTTATTTCACCAAGATCCCCACCATTATTCCACCAATTCTGAACAAATTAAAAGCAACAATATCCTGTTCAACAATATGCCAACATTTTTGGTAAAAGAGAGCATGCATACCATCAACTCCGGGAGCCTTATTCAGGTGCATCTGCATAAGAGCTAGGTGGATCTCCTCCTCTGTGGGAATAACAATCAGATTTTGATTCATATCATCCGTCACCAAGCAATCGAGCCCCGCAATGGCCTCCTCAAAATCAGAGGGCGAAGTCGACTCAAAAATATTAGAGAAATATTTAGAAATAATTTCTTAAATTTCCTCTTCATTATCATGCATCTGACCACTATTGTCCTCAAGCTCATGAATAAAATTCCGTCGTTGTCGATAACTCGCCTTGTGATGGAAATAAGAGGTATTCTTATCCCCATCCTTCAACTCATTGACACGGGACCGAGCATGCCAATACGACTCATCGAGGCGCTGCAATTCATCCAACTCCTTCACAATCCCCTTACATTGTTCAAGCATAGCCGCATCGGGGTCTCTACTCTGCCAATCCTGTAACTCTTGCTCCTTCAAAGCAATTTTTTTCTTCACATCCCCAAACACATCGCACGCCCATCTGCTTAGCTTATTTGCACACACAGCTATTTTAGAATTAATGGGCCTACCCGCATTACCCTCCCACGCACTCTTTACCACTGACTGAAAATCGTGGTTTGATAGCCACAGTGACTCAAAGTGGAAGCGCTTCTTTCTTCGTTTTTGGCGATTAGTGGCATTTGTCTCAAGTAATATTGGAGCATGGTCAGAGTATGTAATTGGATAATGTCGCACATCGAACCTAGGGAACACAGACCTCCACGCCTCACAAGCCAAGAATCGATCCAATCGTTCTCTAACAACCGTGCTACGGTCATTCCCCTTATACCAAGTAAAAATATTACCTTTGTACCCAAGGTCCTCCAAACCACACAAGTCAATAGTTTCCCTAAACAAATCCATTTTCCTCTCACTTCTTGGAGCCCCACCTTGCTAATTCTCATTCTCAAAAAGAATCTCATTAAAGTCCCCAAAGAAAATTAAGGGAAGTTGGATGGCATTTGTGAGTGACTTCATTAACTCAAAAGTTAAGTGTTTATTTCCACTCTCCGGCCACCCGTATATACCAACTGCAGCCCACTTGGGGACATTATTACCATCTCGAACTTCCACCGCAAAGTGATGCTCCGAATAGGACAGTGTATAAGCGTTCACCTCCTTCCACCACAAACCAATGCCACCAGAATTTCCAACACTACTCAAACACACACCTTCACAATAACCACGTTTATTTCTAATAGTCTCCAACCTTCTCGAATCGATCATAGTCTCCATAACGAAAACTATGTTAGGGCTCTCCCTCCAACACCATGTTTGGAGGGCTCGAACTCTCCGGGGATTGCCCAAACCCCGGCAGTTCCAACTGAAAATCTTCATTGCTCTTCGGAGGTTTGGCCCCTGCCAACACCTCCTACTTGGATTTCGTTGTCCCCAACCATCACACCATCATACTTGACACGTTTTTCAAAACCCTTCCCACTACACTTCTCCTCTATCTCACCAGCAGCCCGTTTATTACTCACCACGTCCAGCATTGTAGTATCGAACTCATTTTGCTTATGTCCCCCTTCTCCAATACCCTCCCCTCTTTGAACCATCTTTCTCTTCCAACCCGAGCTCCCCTTCTTCCCCATTTTATCTTCCTTCCTCTCCGTCCCCATCACTCTAGAAATAACACCACCCTTTATAACCCCACTTTGAGGAAATCCATCTGCTAGCTCCAAAATCCTCAATATTCTGAAAAGTCAACCTTTTGAAGGAGTTATGTCTTCGATAAGTGCAATTACTAGATATATCAAGGATCACTATTATGGAGATAATAAGTTCGTTCTTTTGGGGCGTCATCCTCTGTTGCTAGACTATGAGAGATGATCTTTGGACTAGTCAAATAGTCCAAAGCCCTCTAGAATGGATCCTATGAGGTCACACACAAGGGTATTGGGTTAAACAAGTTAGAGGCCCATTAATGGGCCTCATGAGAAATTAACTAATCATGAATTGGATTGGGCTAGCATAGTTAGATTGGAATTAGGTTTTGGGCTTTTGACATGGGCTCTTATTTAGAGATGAGATCTATAAATAAGATCCATGCCTAGGGTTGGATGTAAGAGTCATAATTCACACACAGTGAATTTTGACATCAAGGCAACCAATCCCAAAAACCTTATCCCTCTCTCTACTCACGGCTTTCCTTCTCCTCCCTTCGTCCATACGGCCGGCCACCCTAGGTGGTGCGTGTGGTGTTCGTGGTGGTTCATGGTGGTTTGTTTCTCGCTCTTCTCCATAGAAGGTCAATTGAAGGTTTCAATTGCAACTAACTAGCATTAGCGAGGTCTTAATCCATGCCCGTGGACCAAGTAGAGGAATCACGCTTGAGGTTCTTTATCTCCCCTTGTTCTTGCTCGATCGCACGTGGAATCACGCTTCAAAGGTAAAATTATGTGTTCTTTATGTGTTATGCAATGATCCTTGGTTTAGGTACTTGATTGAATATGATTCATGTTATTTCCGCTGTGTAGTACCTATAAACTCCTACACCTTTCCCCTTCCACTTCCCCACCATCTTCCCCTACTAATGTAGTCTGTTGCTCCTCACTCACCCCAATGAAGTGAAGGTCCAAAGGAGCAAGATGGATGAGATCCATGAAGGTTCAAGTGGGAGCATTTTTGCTTTATTAGTTTTCTTAGGATTAAGGGGCCATACTATGTCATGTTTTATTTATGCATTAGTAGATTATGCATGTTTAGGTTTATTTATGTTGCTTGATGATGCGCTAGAGTTCACTAAATAATCAGAACATAATATATCTAGATCCCAGTAATATTGATGCAGCTTTTCCAATTGAAAACCCGACGAAGCCTTCGATCGTTTATGATAGGTCGGCCCTCAGCAGAGTGTCATAATATATCTTGGGGAAGTGGGGGTAGGACCTCATTCTACACTTTTAATTGGTTATATTCAACAAGGTTACCTAAAGCGTTTAGAACCTTGAAGCTAAGGGTAATAATTAAACATGTGATGGTTAATTATTCAACCAAGAATTACAAGAGTTGTAATCAGTAAAGAGTTTACTCACCTTGAAAATGTAGTAGTTGATGGCAGGGCCTCACTCTGGTCAATTATTGCACGAATAAAGGATCTTGGAATCATTTAATTCAATTGGGATCAATTAACATTGAATAAATGCTTTAAAGTTACCAATTTAATTCGCTTATGGTACTTTAAATTTTAATAAACATAATTGAATTTTGCGTTTACTTATAAGTAACATGTCGTTCTAATTTTATTATTTTATATAATCTCCTCGATTGAAAATAAAGTTGAGAAACGTTCTCAAAAAGTTTAAAAGATAATCCATAAACCTATATTCTAATTTTGCTAAGATTGTTCTAAAAGCCAAGTTTTAGAAATTCATGTCACATGTCTAAGGTTGGATTTATTCAAAATGTTTGAGTAAAATACCAACACATCTTCATTTTGAAAAGTGTTTTCAAGGGATATAATGAGATAGAAGGTACAAACCCTCTAAAAGACAAGTATAAAAGACCAATAAAATCTCTTATCTTCAATATTATTGAATATAAGAAAGTGATTGGAAATCTCTATGATCAAAAGTTGATCAAATGACGCTATTCTTCATCCACTTTATATAGAGTTAAATAGTTGATTAAACTCTTATATGAATAACGATAGAATAGACTTAGAAAAATCATGAAAAGTGTTTAAAGAAGTTAAGCAAAGTATCATTTTGAACCTAAGAGAAGTGTTCTAAGTGGCTCAAATAGGAAAGGTTTAGGAATATATGAGGATTGCATTTTGAAGTTATAGGTCAAGAATTGCAAACAAGTTGCTGCTTCTCAAACCTAGAACTACTTACATGCTAAAAGTTGTTATGAACAACAAATGTTTCAAATTAAATGGACCAATTCCAATTGAGTAGAAACTACCTCATATAGTTGGAAGGTAAAAGAATGGAAATGTTCCAATTTAAGAAGTATATTATAGAAATTGATTTAGCATATTGCTACTTCTTGGACACATGATGTCTTGTTTAGATCACTCATTGCACCATCTGGTTAAACTAAAGGAAGAATTTAGCTAAAGGAGGAATAAATCTACAATTTTAGAAGCAAATGTTGCTACTTCACTAGTAGAATCTACGAGTCTGGAAGCAAAAGTTGCAACCTTACAAGTAGATCCAAAGGGATGGACTTTCAATATCAAATAGATTATGAATCTATTGATGTATGTAATTATCATTCTAATTTGAAATTTTGACTAGGTCACCATTTAGAGAAATGATGATGTGATGTGAACTCGAGGTCATGTAAGAAAACCATAGGCTCAAGGGCTAGAGACAGTCAATGAAACTTCATTTGTGACACGATCACTATTTATGCTTAGTTGAAGCATGGAAGTGAAAATTTTGAAAAGTTCAAAATGTTCAGTATGAAGTTCAGTATCAACTTGACAAGAAAATTATTACATTACAATATGATTGTAATTGTGAAAATTTAAGTCAAGACAAGTACTTGGCAACACATTCGAAATATTGCGATATGATCGTAATAATGAGAATTTAAGCCAAGACATTGATAAACATCCAAGAGTTATAAAATTGTTTTACAACAAACTCCGTAAGCAAACTTTGTGAAGTGTTTATAAAGGGAGCTATCAATCTATATGAGATATATTTTGATAATGGATGTAAATTACCTATCTTCCAACCATTGTTCAAGGGATATAATTTTAAAATAAGCTACAAAACTAAACAAAAACAACATAGGTCAAGTCAAAATGTAGCAAGGCTTCATATGTGATATGGATAAGAAACGTTCTTATAAAGTCTTTCTACAAAGCAAGGAATAAAAGTTGTATTAAAACGTTTAATGCACATTCGATTCCTATATATAGAGCAAGGGGTACTACTACACAAACCATACTTAGCACAAAATGTGTGTTGCTCAAGTAGGTGCCCTTATGGAAATTGTTCCAAAAGGTCAAGTGGGAGTAGTTTAAATCTCGAAAGAGCTTGAGAAAAGCAACAAACAAACATGGCTCAAACCATGGTTGGTTCACCCTATGCAAAATGTTCCTCCTCAAAAGGCAAGTGGGTGTATAAGAATCTTGAAATGTTCGAGAGCCTTGAAAGAGTTCAAGAAAAGTGATTTCGAAAATCTCGAAGAAATTTGAGAAGTAATCGAATAAAAGCAACAATATGAGCATGATTCACCTCATGTTACGAATGAAAACGCGTGGTCTCATTAAGTGTAATGGGATTAATAACCATGTGTCGAAGGTAGTACATTCCAATTACAAATCCTCTATTGTCATTTCTCATTGAAAGCTAAACAAAGTTGTTGTATGAGTTTCAATTGTTGCATAAAACCCACAATGATGACTAGCATACGTAAAACTTAGCCAAAGAAATATGATTTTATATTGACTAAGAGTTCTAAAACATTTATTTTGGAACATGATGATTATGCAAGTAATAAAGATGATTTGAAAAGTTGTGACTCCAAGTGGTTTTAAAACCAGAAAATATGAAATAGATTCTAAGTTTGTAAGTAAGTGTATGACACTTGAATTATTTGCCTAATTGGGTGAAACCCATTGTAAGCAAAACAGACAAGAAAGAAAAATGTTTTCTAACTAATGCAAAGACTTGTTAATGGATTCAACAAATTCATAGTATGACTATGACTACGATGAAACCTTTCCATTAGTCATGTTGCAAAGATCTATTAAAGATATTTAGTGATTTCTACCTTATAAGATTTGGTAGATGGATTTCAAAACGCTTTCATGAAATTTTTCTTGAAACGCTTTCTTGAAATTGTTCATGAAAGGAGTTATGTCTTCGATAAGTGCAATTACTAGATATATCAAGGATCATTATTATGGAGATAATAAGTTCGTTCTTTTGGGGCGTCATCCTCTGTTGCTAGACTATGAGAGATGATCTTTGGACTAATCAAATAGTCCAAAGCCCTCTAGAATGGATCCTATGAGGTCACACACAAGGGTATTGGGTTAAACAAGTTAGAGGCCCATTAATGGGCCTCATGAGAAATTAACTAATCATGAATTGGATTGGGCTAGCATAGTTAGATTGGAATTAGGTTTTGGGCTTTTGACATGGGCTCTTATTTAGAGATGAGATTTATAAATAAGATCCATGCCTAGGGTTGGATGTAAGAGTCATAATTCACACACAGTGAATTTTGACATCAAGGCAACCAATCCCAAAAACCTTATCCCTCTCTCTACTCACGGCTTTCCTTCTCCTCCCCTCGTCCATACGGCCGGCCACCCTAGGTGGCGCGTGTGGTGTTCGTGGTGGTTCATGGTGGTTCGTTGCTTGCTCTTCTCCATAGAAGGTCAATTGAAGGTTTCAATTGCAACTAACTAGCATTTGTGGAGGTCTTAATCCATGATCGTGGACCAAGTAGAGGAATCACGCTTGAGGTTCTTTATCTCCCCTTGTTCTTGCTCGATCGCACGTGGAATCACACTTCAAAGGTAAAATTATGTGTTCTTTATGTGTTATGCAATGATCCTTGGTTTAGGTACTTTATTGAATATGATTCATGTTATTTCCGCTGCGTAGTACCTATAAACTCCTACACCTTTCCCCTTCCACTTCCCCACCATCTTCCCCTACTAATGTAGTCTGTTGCTCCTCACTCACCCCCTCACTCAACTCCTCCCCCCTATCATCACACACTGCCCCTTCTTTTGGTTTTTTTATTCAACATTACATCATCCCCCTCCCGTACTCTTGTGGGTCTAAGCACAACTTTCTTTGACCGTTCGTCCTCAACCAAAGTCAACCTAACTTCTCGTTCCAGAGGTGTAGAGTTTGACTCCTGTACCTTAGGGGAAGCGAAGTGTAATTTACGAGCAGCCTCATAGGCCCTAGACGAATAACATTCGGGGAATTGTGCTTCCTTAATGAATCACCCCTGCGAGAATTTATTTTCTCCACGAGTTTTTTCTCCTTCTCACGAGCTGCCAGGGAAAATTTAGAGAGTTTGAGGGGAGAAGCCCTCAACCACGGGCCGTATTGGTACACCACATCATTCATCTCTTCGCCATCCATCTCCTTCTTATCACACTCTCTATCAGTATGATCGAGAATGCCACAATAAAAGCAAAAATCAGATAGGCGTTCATATTTAACATCGATCCATTTGGTTGTCGCACTACCAACAGCCACCAATAAACCCCATCTCAGCGGTTTCGTAACATCCAACATCACCCTTATGCGCATAAACTCACCCCAACCCAGCGGATCAGTATCATCTAACTCCATAAATCCCTCAAGCATGTTTCCAATTTCACTCATGATCAGAGGGTTACGCTTGTTAAACGGCACATCATAAAGTCGAACCCACATTGGAGTTCGATCGAACACTACCTCAGACGGTTGTTCCTCACCCTGAATGTCTTTTAATAGCATTAGTTTCCCATCAAAAAACCATGGCATCCCTTCAATAACTCTGTTTTTATCCTTCTCTTTTACAAATTGGAAAACGAACAAGTTTGTATCCATCGAGCGAATCAAAATATCATCAGTAACCCCCCAAACATTCGATAAGGTCTTCTTCATTGCCTCCACATTGAAGGGTTTCACCGTACAGAGTTTACCAACGAGAGCATGACGAAAGAAATCAGTTGATCCCTCCCCACCTTCGTTATTCACCACATCGCCAACAACACAATTCTCATCCTCTGTCAATTGGAACTTTTCCCAATATTTAATTAATTCATCAGCCATAATTTCACGCAAAAGAATACGAAACATATTTTGGGCATAAAATCACTCGGAAATTGTACAAGAGTACTAGAAATTGATCAAGAGAACTGTGAAAATCGCAAACCCTATTCAAAGGGCCACAGAACCCTAAGCAAGGGATCAGACCACTCAATTGAGGAAAAAAAAATTAAGTACGCGATTATGGTACAATTTTGTTGTTTGTGCCAAAAATGTGTGATTTTGTTGGTAGGAAAATGTGTTTGTTTGGTACTGTAAACCGCCTGTCACAGTTATGCACTTATGCGCCTCGCCTTACTCTTGTGGTTATTACTTATAAAGCTATTGTTTTGTCCCTAGTTAAATATAGTAAAATTATTTCTTTCTAATTATTTGGAAAATTTGCAAATTGCAACCACTTAAAGTTAATATTTTGCAAATTGCATCCACTTAAAGTTAATATTTTGCAAGTTGCAGCCCAAAGGGGTCGAAGTTTTGAGTAGTTTAAGTTGACATAAAAGCGGTTAAGGTCAAGAAATTAAATTAAAGAATTAATTAAAATACTATCAAATACATTACTCCTCTCAAGTAACAATATTAAATATGTAAGAGAGTAGCACAAATAACGCCGATCAAAGTGGAGAATAACTAGTATAAAAAAAAAATTAAATTTGGAGTCCTAATTCTTCATCCACAACAATCAAACAAAAGAAAATCAAATTACATAAAATTATATACAAATACATGAACATGTCTAATCAATCAGTTTCAACCATTTTGATGTTGGCTTTCTTCTTGGAATTTCTAATGCTCACTATAGTTGGTATATCCTTGTTTTTCCCCTGATCTTTTGCTTTGATTTCGTTGCGTACGCTAGCTATCTAACTTAATTGATGTTTCTTACCATTGACTACGCGATTGTTCGTATTATAATGATGTTTAATGGTGTATGTATGTATACAGCTCCTACACTTGCCTGCAGTGAAAAAGGAGGCTCTTGTGTATTTGACGACTGTTGTCCTGGCCTTCACTGTTAGGATTTTTTTCCAGGTCCTGTTTGCGCCTAAGTGTGCAGTGTGATCGATAGATCAAGCTACATCCTACATGAATAAGTAAAGAATTTGATCTATAAGTGTGCAGTGTGATCGATAGATCGATGTTGTTTTTTCGAATTTGGTGTATGTGTGACTGAAATTATGCTAGGACTTGTGAGGGTGATCGAGTGATGTATGGATCAAATGCATGCTCTATCTTATTGAATTACTAGCATAAAATATAATTATGTACATATTTTTTGTAACTTTGTATTGTATGTGATGCTTAGCAATAATAAATGCATGTACCTAGCTTGTGGAGCTTGTTTTAACCTATATAGAGCCTTACAAAGTTGACATACATAAGAGGGTGCTCTCTGATCAATAAAACTCCAAGGTTGATGCATGTAAACTTTTTCATACAACTCACTATGAATAAAAGCATATTTGACATCAAATTGATGAATCGACCACTTTTTAGCCATAACTAAGTTGAGAACTATATGAATAGTGGCCAGCTTAATTAACTACTGGACTAAAAACCTCATCACAATCTACACCAACTTCCGATGACTTGCCATCACAAACAAGACGAGTTTTAATTTGTACATTCGAGATCACCATTAGACTTGTACTTGTGTTTAAATAATTACATACGATTAACAATGTTCACCCTTGAAAGCCTAGATACCAAACCTTAAGTCCCAGTTTTTATAAGAGCGTCATATTCATTTTAGATCGTCGCTGCATTCCAGTTTGGGTCATTAAGAGCATTTTTATGTGATTTATGAAAAGTAAAGGTAATATTGGTGTTCCTGCTGATTTCTGCTTCCGTTGATGTCCGAGGGCTGGTAATGGTTTAGTGTCCAATTGCTCACCTACACAGCCAATACAGATTAGCTAACCCGAGGGTTATCCGGGAATAACCTCTCCGATGCTAAAGTCAGTACCTTTGTGAGAAGAAAGTGAAAGAAGAGAGAGAAAGTGTTTTAGAGAGAGAGATTCTACCTTTGAAGTGAGGATTTGCTTGGGTATTTATAGAAACGCAACCAAGCAGGTGCCACCTATACAGATAGGTGGCACACCGACCTTGTAAATTGCTGGTGCCTACGCGGCACCAAACAGCTCTCCACGTGTCAGAGGGACATGCCACGTTCCGAGAAGCAACTCTCCATGTGGCAGAGACTGATGCCGGTAAGGACATGAATTATTCAATGATTAACGAGGGCTTTAAACTGCACGACACTCTTTTACCGGCATATTGTAGATGCTACCGGTATATCCCGTACAACTAGCCCCCCAAGTGAGGACGTTAGTAAAACTGACGTGCTCACTTGCGATCGAACACGGTGCTGGTACACAATATACCATACAAGAATTATTAGAAAACGAAAAGATCCACGATTTTGGCCCTTAAGTGAGCAAATTGCCAATAGGACTTTGCTTGATGTAAGACAGAGAAAATCTACGATTTGCCCCCCAAGTGAGAAAATTGTCGATAGAACTTTGCTCAATTTAAATTAAAACCGAAAATAGTAGTGAATATGGTTTCACTTTATTTGAATTGTCCCCCAGAATTTAACGGGAAACTCACTAAAATAATGGGGCACGTGTCAGTCATCAAAGTAGGGTGTTTTTGAAAAGGCGTTTTATTACAGCCGTTGGATTGCATGCAGTAAATGTCACATCAACCGCTTCATTTGGACAGTATAAAATAGTGAATTTCGTACTTTTGACCCTTCATTTCTTTCGCGAAAAAATTTCGAAAAATTCCTACTTCATTTCGCTCGTAGTACGCACATATTTCTGCGATTTAAGAGTCGATTTGTCAAAGGTTTGTTCAGTTGTGTTGTGACCGGTGTTTGTAAACGGAGGACACTTAATTCCTGAGTTACGCTTTCAAGATTTGAGTTCAAAAGTAGTAAAAAACCCTAACTTTGTTTTCGATTTCTCACTGGTTTGTGGTTAAGTAGATTTTGCGTTTATTACATTATTTGTGAATGTATGGTTCTGGAATGCGTGCAAATATGGGTAAAGCCAATGAGGCTGAACTCTGTACACCCTTAACTTCTATAGAAGAAAGAGAAGCTTATTACCGCCATAAGTTTTTGGCTGACGCCGAGAAGGCTTTGCGTCCTACCAACCCCGATATTCCGGAGGACACAAAGATTGCCGATGTTGAGCCTATTAGCGTTCATTATCATTTGAGGTCAAATTTGGATTTATTTAATCAATACGACACTAATATTGACAGGATGCCGAGAACAAAACACACCAGTTACCAACCTGAGGTTGGTGAGAGCAGTAGACGCTCTAGTGGGGGAGAAGATGATGATCCTGGGCATGAAGCTTCGGATATTAGAGAAGAAGATATCCTGTCAGTAGAGGAAAGTCTGGAATGACAAGGAAGTAGGGGTGAAAGCATTGGCGATGAGGAAGATGAAGAGCAATCAGAAAGGCTTGGGGAGGGAGAAGATGATGACGAAGAAGACGAGACCGACGAGGATGTTCGGGCCGACTTCAATCTTGCTGCTCAGATTGCAGAAGAGGAGCGGCTCGACGAGGAATACGACTCAGATCAAGATGATCCGAAGTATCTAGAACCCCGAGAAATTCCCAGCAGCTATGAGATAACTGAGTCAGTTGTGGATCCGGCATGGTTGCAGACAGCCACCGAGAAAGACTATTGCCAACATGGCAAACGCTTCTACCGCCTTTCTAACGGCTATGAACTGAGACTACCAAGCGAAGGTCAAACGCTTTGGATTGCCCTGCCGGCTACATTGTCGTGTATGCAAAGCATTTAGAATTTGGTTTACGGTTTCCACTCCATCATTATATCGAAAAAATATTCAGGGCTTGGAACGTTTCAATTGCACAGTTAACGCCTCCAACCATCCGAAACATAGTGTCTCTTGTCTGGGTTATGATATTTATGGACTTTCCTCTTAACCTGAACTTGTTTCGGAGATTGCACTGGATCAAGAGAGATAGTCAGTCACCCGGATGGTGGTCACTTTTTACCGTTCCCGGTAAATGCACTATGTGGCCAAAATTGACCAGTTGCAAGAACTAGAAGAACGAATTTTATTTTATGAGTTTTCTCGACGATTTTACTGTCCGTAGGACATTTCATCACCCACACAACATGTTCGAGACCATACGGTCGAGAGCGTTAGGAAAGATGGAGAAAAAAGCTTTTAAGTGGTTTAATTTGTACATATGTTAGTGCTAGTAAGAAGAATAAAGTTGTTGCGGGGGTGTGGCTGCCCCATTGTAATTATATACTGGGCAACGCCCCTCTTTCTCATGTCGGTCTCTGCCATACCGATGCTTTTGGTATGGAAACAGTTATAAATTATATATATTTATTTATATTTATCTTTACTGTATTTGCACTTTGCATTTGGCAATAAATTGACAAGTGTTTTGCCTGCTGATTCTCTTACCTGCATGCGTATATCTTACTTAAACTTGTCTCTTCTCTTTTTTTTAAAACGCTTATGTTTACCTTTACGGTGTCTGTTTTTGATGTTTCTTATCGGATGTTTCCACCGCCAGGTATTGACAAACTCGACTTCAGCCGGCTAGGGTTGCATTATGACGGGCGAGTGAAGCAACAGTGCCCAGATCGGCCAGAGAAGTCATACGACACCCTTCCTGTTTTCACCACCAGAGCCTCTGAAAGAAAAATAACGAGGCAACAAGATATGGCTCCTACCGAACATGTTACCAAACCCCGCACCCTAGCTGTGAAAAGGGGTGGAGGGAATGCGTCTAAGAGGACATCTGAGTCCTCTGACCGAGAGCAACAGAAAAAGAAAAAGAAGCATGATGGTGATGCGGCATCCTTCCAAAAGGATGCACAAGAGACCTTGCCGGAAGGGGTCGTTAATTTGGAGGACGAGACCGATCTCCATCCGCCGAAAAAGCTGACGGTCACTTTAAGAGATCCAAAAGGTCTTGGGGTCAGCAGCGAGGTCAGAACCGGCCAGATGGCCAACATTGAAAAGCCTCCTAGCAAGGAGACAACAATCGTCCCGGGGCGCACTAGCGGCCCTGGCAAGAATGCTTTCGTCCCGGCTCTCGTCGGTGACTTTATCGAGATTCCTCATGTCAGAATCCTAACAGAAGTCGCTGACGAGTTGGCTGTGCCCTTTGGTGCTGCCGGTGACCCATGGCACCCCAGGATCAACGTTAATCGCGGAGAGTCTGTTCTCTGTGACGACCCTGCGACTAGCGGAAGCATGGGGTGGAGGGTACTCAAGGACTTGGCGACGCCAGCCGACAGGCCTGCCAACCACGTTGCTGCTCCCTGCGGTCAACTGATGAACAACATGCTCCGGGTAAGACAGCATTCTTACCTGTAGATACGTATCATTTTTATGTTACATATCTGAGTTATTTATATTGTTGTTTATATTTATTTGTATTATTATTATATTATCATCATTTTTTTGTGTGTTTTTTTTTTTACTAACGACAATTTCTGTTTATCGGCAACTAGACCGTCAACTCTGCTGTCGAAGTGGTACACATGTACCAGCATTATCAGCGCGCCGCCGATAACGCCGAGACCAACTTGAAAAAGGCTAACGACGCTTGCAAGCTCGTCATCAAGGAGCACGATAAGGTTAAATCTGATATAAAGACCTTGTAAAAGCAAGTGTCCGAGCTAAACAAGAAGCTGACGGACCAGGAGTAGTTACAAAAGAAGGTAGTCAGCCTCGAGCAAAGTCTGAAAAGACGAGAGGGAGGCAAAGGCGAAGCTGGCCAGCAAAGTTGAGGAAATGGAGCGTGATAAGCCGGGAATCAGGTGCCGAGCTGTTAATCGGTTCCTGCAGACCGACCTTTATGCCAACTTGCTGGTTGACCGGTATACTGCCGGTTGGGTCTCTGCGCATCGCTGTGTGTGCAAAGCTGAGGGGTGGGACTCGACGAAATGGCAGGCCGTCGAGAAGGCTTTTAATGAAGACATGAACCACTCTCCTACCAGCTATGAGAGTGAATACTTTGACGAGCTCCCACCGCATGATGTGATAACAAACTTAGACCCACGCGAATTGCCAGAAGTAGAGTTTGATGACGGCCTTATCAGTAGCCCTGTTACCACTCATGCTGATAAAGATGGGTCTGCCGGTCCCTCCAACAAAGACACTATGAAAGAGCCCGTTAACGCGGCTGAAACAACAAAGGAGGCCGACAAGAATTAACAAGGAACGCAGTCATCGTTGGGCTTTTATGTTTATGTTTGTCTGTATCTGTTTCTGTGCTCAAACAATTATATTTGTCTGTACTATGCAACATTTTTCCGAGTACATTATCTGTGTATGTCTGTATTTAAAACAATTATTTCTGAGTAATTAGTTTATTTACTGCTTTACCATAATTCTTACTGTCGTGCATATATTGTTTATGCTATGGTCGTTACTTACCTTTTAACTAACACTTAATGATTGCCTTCTTTGAAATCGTTTTTTAGTTATTCTCTCGGTTTTTAACACGAATTTACAATTTTTTTGGCATTTCAAAGTTACACTTTTCGGCATTTTATTTGTAAATAAAATTTTGGAAAACCAAATAATGCCTGCATTCAACTTTGTTATCGGTATTTTCAAGTTACGCCTTACCAATAATACTTTGTTATCGGTATTTTCAAGTTACACCTTACCAATAATACTTTGTTATCGGTATTTTAAAGTTACACCTTACCAATAATACTCCTCGAGTTTTTCGGCAAAATTTATTCGTAAACAAATTTTGGGAAAACTCTGTAATGCCTGTATTGAATATCGGATGTGAAACATACCGAGATAAAGTATCCAACCTTTTTCAGGCTGAGCAAAGGCAGTGGATCAGACCACACTTTCAACTCACCTTGAGGTCCATTATTATTTTATTTCATTATTTTTCCCACACTTGAACGACCGAGTCAGCTAGCTAGGCTGTGATCAGATCGTATCGAAAGTAGGTAGAGTGATTGTATTTCATAAGTATTGAAATAGGTTACAATGCTAGTAAACGTCATAAACATACGTATGAAAACATGTCATCAAAATTTATACTACATAAAATAGAACACATTTAAACTTCACATGAAATACTTCTTTAACACACTAGCGTTCCAAACATTCTTCAGGGGTACTCCTTCAAGGGTCATTAGTCTATAAGACCCTTGCCGAAGCATTTCATATATTTGGTAAGGCCCCTCCCAGGTTGTAGTAAATTTACCCTCTGCGTTCCCTTTGTCGGTTGCGGTCGTTCTACGCAGAACCAAATCACCATCTTCCATGGGTCGATAATTGACGCGCCGATTATAAGCGTGGCTCATTCGGTTTTTGTATGCCGCAGATTTTATGGCAGCCGCCAGCCTCACTTTCGGTAGAAAATCCAATTGCTGTCGAAGCAACAAATCATTTTGACTTTCGCAGAAGTGTTGTACCCGAAAAGTAGGTAGTCCCACTTTCGCCGTAACCACTGCCTCTGAGCCGAAAGCGAGGTTGAAAGGAGATTCCCCCGTAGTTTCTCTTGTTGTCGTACGGTTCGCCCACAAAATCTCAGGTATCAGATCCGCCCACAAGCCTTTGGCGTCTTCTATTTTTCTCTTAACTGCCCCTAGTATCCGCTTGTTAGCGGCCTCAGCCTGGCCGTTTGACTGCGGGTGACATACCGCCGCATACGCAAACTTCACTTTGTATATGCTTAGAAAGTTCTTTATCGGGCTACAGTCAAATTGTGATCCGTGATCAAACACCATTGTTGTCGGCAATCCGAACCGTGTAAAGATGCTTTTCCAGGTGAACTTTTTTACCTCATTCGCTGTAATATTTGCTACCGGTTCTGCTTCTATCCATTTGGTGAAGTAGTCTATCCCCACAATAAAAAACTTACGGCCACCTGTTGCCGATGTAAACAGCCCGATAATGTCCATTCCCCACTGAGAAAATGGAATTGGGTTAAGAATAGGTGTTAAATCATTTGGAGGTTGATTAATCACAGGCCCGTACCTCTGGCATTTATCACATTTTTTAACGTATTCCATGGTATCTGCATTCATTGTCGGCCAATAGTAGCCCCGCTTCATTGCTTCCAAGGACATTGACCGACCTCCCGCATGATTACCGCAATCACCCTCATGTATTTCTTCTATCATTCTTGCCGACTCATAAGCTGTTATACACCTTCGCAACGGTAACGAAAACCCCCGTTTATACAACAAACCTCATAACCTGATAAACCAGACGCTATCTTTCTGGACCTTTCTTGCCTCCGTCTTACCGGCAGGAAGGACATTATGTACCTTGTAAGCTAAGATATCGTCATACCATTCTCGTCCCGCAGTTGTACAATATATATCCTTAGGAGGTTGCTCATCAATACTTCTTTCTTTCAAAACCTCTACCATAACCGTCCTCTCTAAGTCGTTGAAGCTTGAACTTGCGAGTTTAGCCAATGCATCTGCCTGCGTGTTCATTGCTCGAGGAACCAACTTGATTTCGAAATATTCCAGACCAAATGTAACACTCTTGAGTTTTGCCAAATATGCCGTCATGCTCGGCTCTCGAGTTTTGTAAGTGCCACTGAACTGATTTGCTATTAGTTGAGAGTCAGTTGTCATCTCAATACGCTTTGCTTCCGCAGATATATGCATAGATGTATCCCTGCCAATGTTGCTTCATATTCTGCCTCATTATTCGAGGCTTTGAACTTGAACTTGACAGCATACTCGAACACATCTCCCTGGGGAGAGATCATAATTACTCCTGCCCCTGAGCCGGTTGAAACAGACGAGCCGTCAACTGATATCTTCCATGTGCCGGTACCATCCTCCTCTTCATAATAAGACGTTTCTACAATGAAGTCAGACAAGGCCTGGGCTTTGATTGATACCCTTGGTTTATACATAATAACATATTTAGACAATTCAATCGCCCATTTAAGTAAACGGCCAGACGTTTCCATCTTCTGCAAAGACTTCTCTAACGGCTGATTCGTTAAGTTATCAATTGCATGTGCATCGAAATAAGGACGCAACTTTCGTGCGGCCACAACTACTGCGTACGCGATCTTCTCTACTAACGGGTACCGTCTCTCGGCAGCGTTTAAAACGTGGCTCACAAAGTAGATTGGCAGTTGGGTTTTTAGTCGTTCCACTAGGAGCACTGCTGCTACGGTCTTTGCTGACGCGGAAATATAAAGCTGCAATGTTTCTCCTTGTTCCGGCCTTGCGACGGTGGGTAAGGACCTCCCCCACATCCTGGAACGCCTTGGATTGGTCCTTCCCCCATTCAAACAGCTTGTTCTGACGCAAGATCACGAAGAATGGTAAGGCTTTGTCAGCTGACTTGCTGATGAATCTCGTTAATGCAGCCATTCGACCAGTGAGCTTTTGTACATCTTTTATGCACTTTGGTTCTGGTAAACTAAGAATCGCCTCAATCTTATCGGGGTTAGCGTCTATCCCCCTTTCGCTCACCATGAACCCGAGAAACTTTCCTGACCGGACGCCGAACACACACTTCTCCAGGTTTAACTTCATCCGGTAGCGTCGAAGAGTTTCAAAAGTTTCTCTCAAATCAGTGACGTGATCTGTAGCCAAACGGCTTTTCACAATTGAATCATCCACATACACTTCCACATACCTTCCTTTCTGATTCGCAAACACCTTGTTGACCAGCTTCTGATACGTAGCCCCTGCATTTCTCAATCCAAACGGCATAGCCCTGTAACAAAAAACTCCGGAATCAGTAATGAATGTCTCCTTGGTTTGATCTGGCTCATATAGGCTGACCTGATGATACCCGGAGAAAGCGTCCATAAAACTCAATAGCGCGTGACCGAAAGTTGAATATACCAATCGATCTATCCTCAACAAGGGATAGCAATCTTTCGGACAGGCTCTGTTCAAGTCCGTAAAGTCCACGCACATTCTCCATTTCCCTGACGACTTTTTTACAATAACCACATTTGCTAACCATTCTGGGTATGTGCAGGGTTCGATAAACCCTGCCGCTAGCAACTTATTCACCTCTGACTGAATAGCCTCCATTTTCTCTGTTGAGAAGTTCCTTTTCTTTTGTCGGACAGGTCTTGCTCTCCTGTCGACATTTAGCTTATGCACAATGTCGTCGGGATGTATCCCGAGCATCTCGTCTGCCGAGAAAGCAAACACATCAGCACTTTCTCGTAACAATTCCACCAAATGGCAACGCGTGTCGACATCCATATCGGACCCAACACGCACTACCCTCCCGAGAACCCCTGGCTGTAATTCGATCTCTACGGTCTCGCCTCCTGGGGAAGGACGTGGCGCAGTTACTGGCCGAGTATCGAAATTTTCCATGGCCAAATCGTGCGCGGAGGGAATTCGTTCTCGCTTGGATGGTGTCTGTTCACAAGTTGGTTGTCGGCTAGACTGCTTTAGTGCTGAAACATAACACTCTCTGGCCATAGTTTGACTTCCTCGTACGCGCTCTGTCGTTCCCGCGTTGGACACATATACCATTGTTAAATGGTACGTCGAGACCACAGCTAGCATGTCATGAATTAAAGGCCAACTGACAATGGCGTTGTAAGCGGATGGCACATCAATCACCAAAAACTCCGCCATAACATCTCTCACTGCCGGCCCCTCTCCCATTCAAACCTGAAGAACTATACTACCCTCAGGTCTTACCGTTGATCCGTTGAAGCCTATCACGGGATAGGACACTGGCGTTAAGTATTTTCGGCCAATTCTCATGGCGTCAAAAGCTCTAGCAAATAGGATATTGGCGGAACTACCGCCATCAACGAGAGCCCGCTTGATATCTGCTCCATTTACCGTCAATATCAGCACCAACGGATCATCATGAGGGAAGACTATTCCCTTAGCAACTTCCTCCGAGAAAGATATAGAAAACATAGGAGAAGGTCGAGGTCGTTCCTCTACGCTCAATGCGTTCACTAGATGCCGGTATTCCGACAAACTTTTCTTCGCCCCACTTACAAAACCCCCGTATACCGGTCCTCCAGAAATGACATCGATTGTTATTTTGTGTCCTGTCGGATTACCTCCCTGTCTGGATGTTTCCGCATGATTTTGTCTGTAGGTGTCATCTTGCATTGATGAATCTCTCTGCTTTCGGTACTCGGTTTGCCTGGGCTGTGCATTTTGCTGTCGATCGGGACCTGCTTGAGTACGATACTGGGACAATCACCCCTTCCTTATGAGATCTTCAATGTTCTCCTTTAATTGGACACATTCTTGGGTGTAATGACCAACATCTCTATGAAACATGCAATATTTCTTCACGTCCTGGCCCTTCGTTATCATCGATGCCGGTCGACTCCAATCTTCTCTATTCTGGTTTATTGAATAAATTGCCGCTCTCGGGGTGTTTAACTGTGTATAGCTGCTATAACGGCCCAATCCCCTTGTCGGTCTCCCAGATCTCTGCTGACCTTGTGGCAGTACCCTGCTTATCCCACCCATCTGGGCGTTTGGGCTATTATCACTTTGCCTTCTGGAGGGTTCTGCTGACGATATCTGACGGCTCGTTTTCAGCAGTTCCTCACTCTTTATGTATTCGTGAGCCTTGGAAAATGCTACCCCTAAGTTTGGGAAAGACTTCCGCGACATATATTTTTTGAAGTCGTTGTCACCCAGTCCATTCATCAACGCCATCACGTCAATTTCTTATTGCAATTTTGGTATGGTGTTAGCCTCGTTATTGAAGCGCCTAATGAAATCTCTGAGTGATTCCTCTTTTCGTTGCTGAATAGCCATGAGCTCGCCAGATGTCCTTTATCTCGCACTGTTACTTATGTACTGACCTGTGAACAACTCCATCAGGGTCTCAAAGCAGTCGATTGATCCCGGCTCTAAATTGGAGAACCAATCCGAAGCTGCCCTGGTAAGAGTCGTAGGGAAAACTTTACACCACACAGCATCGGTGTCGGTATATAACAACATGTGACTTTGAAAAGCAGCCACATACCGCTTAAGGTCCCCCTTACTGTCATACGTACAGGACGACATCTTTATTTTCTCCATTTGTTGGTCAAGTACCTCTTGTGTGAACGGAGATATCTTGGGCCTGATGATCGCCCTGGCTGCCCGCCTTTCCAAGCCACTGGAAACCTCATGCCGATAGGAACCTGAATCCCCCACCTGGGCGTCTTGCGTGATTTGGCGCTCAGCCGATATGGTCTCTCGGCCCCGGCTCCTTGACGGTTGTTTCTATCCCGCCTGATTGAACTGACTCTCCAGGTTCACTATTAGCGGTTTTGTCGGTACATCGGCCAGTACCTCCCCTGCTGCTAACTCGGCTTCCTTTCTTTTCTTAGACATAGCCTGCATGACCCTAGCCGTTATCTCTAGCTCCTCCGGGGTAAACCCCTCCAAGGGATCGGGGGTCACTGCTCTATTGCGGTCAGGTGTTAAGGGCATGTTCGTTGTGTTGCCGTGAAGGAGATGAGTTTCATCCTCGACCACGATTTCTGGTACGCTGTTTATAGTTTTATTCGCGTTAGCATTTAAGATACTAGTATCATACTGCCGGTTATCAACCTCCGGTACCGGTGCTGTAGTTTCCTTACTTCCTTCCATAACTGTGAGAGGTTTTATTGGACGATAGAAGTTATTACTATCCCCTCCTTCTAGCGCCAATTGTTCCTGCTGATTTTTGCTTCCGTTGATGTCCGAGGGCTGGTAATGGTTTACCGTCCAATTTCTCACCTACATAGCCAATACAGATTAGCTAACCCAGGGGTTATCCGGGAATAACCTCTCCGATGCTAAAGTCAGTACCTTTGTGAGAAGAAAGTGAAAGAAGAGAGAGAAAGTGTTTTAGAGAGAGAGAGATTCTACCTTTGAAGTGAGGATTTGCTTAGGTATTTATAGAAACGCAACCAAGCAGATGCCACTGTAGGGAATAATTTCAAGCCTTAAAATCCCACTAGCTTGAACCCCACTGTGATCATACACTAAAGTACGGTGGAGTCCAAAAGGGAAAAAGATAGAGCAAAAGAGTCGCCAACAAGTTTTTAGGGAACTTGTAAACCGTTCATAGGATGAAGGTTACACCCCTTAACGATCCAAAAGATCGTCAACTCTATAAGGTCATGAACCAAATAAGGGTCCGTGGATGATGGTACAAATCCAACCTAAAAGAGATTGAACCTGCCCTAATAATAGGCCTCTACTTTATTCTGATCGTATTCATGTGCGCTTTCTAATTAACATGCAATCAATAGGATTAACCCTAAACCTGTTTAATCTATGTTGGTTGAATATTAATGCACAAATAAACTTTTATTGGCGATCACTTGAATTTATAATCACATTAATCCTGACAAGATTATTAATTATTTTATTAAGCATGATTACAAATACAAATTCCCTTTAAGCATGCAATAAAAAGGTGATCAAGCAATAAAGAATAAATAATCAAGCAACATAATAAATAATCAATATCACAACAATAAAATTATAATCAAATTAATCATTATCAAAAAAATAATAAATTATAACAATTATAATCATAATCATGTTCATGTTAATATTAAAGCATAATAAACATAGCAAGATCCTAGGCATGATACTAACAAGATTAATAACAAACTCTAGCATGTCACTAAGAAATAAAAATCAAATCTTTAACCCTAACATGATACTTACAATCATAAATATTCGGAAGAACATAGGAAGCATCACAACAATCATATTTAATATTAAAATTACCTAGACATGATACTAGGAATATCATAATAACAATATAAACATGATTTCTACATCATAACATCAATTAAAACATTAAAGCACTTACTTTGATGCTTCGTATCTCTTTCTAATAACAAAATACACACGTTAGTAACTTCAAGGAAAATAATAATCAAACAAAGCAATTAAATTAAATAATTAAAATAGAGATTTGGGACAAACCCTCAGAAATTAAAACCTTTCACGCCTAGGGCGAAGGCAACTTCGAATATGGCTAGGTGTTTCTAGATCTTGCGAATGCGGAATTTTGTATAAAAATGTAAGAAAGAATTGAATGAAAGAATGCTAAAGAATTAATGATTGTTGATGAAAGCTTGAGAATGAAGAGAATTGGTTGTAGGTGAATGTAGATGATGATAAGGTGAAAATTGGTGAATATTGGTGATAATTCGTGCATGAAAACGGAGTTTTTGATACGATATTTATAGATAAAATTAGCCAAAAAAGATAATTTAACAAAACAGAGTCTGACGCACGCAAAACAAGTTTGGCGCCAACCCTGGCTAGTTGGCGTCAGCCACCAATGGCTACAGCCAGGCGCCAATGGCTAGCACCTGGCGCCAAGCCTGGTTCCAGGCGCCAATGCCTGGGGTTGGACGCCAAACTGGATCTTAACGCGTTTTCGAAAATCTGATAAATTTCGAAAATGCTAATTGAATTAGGAATGAAAAGAACCTTCTAGAAGATTCTAGAAGACTAAAACCATTCCTAATTTCATTAGGAGTGATAAATCACATTAGGCCCTCCCCAAGATCATTGGGCCATACATAAAGCTCAAACCGGGCCCAGCTTAGTAAATTGGCCATAACTTCCTCAATATTCATCGAAATTGGGTTTATAATATATCGTTGGAAAGGTCTTTGCAAGCCCCATCCAACTAAACTACTATTGGATCCATATAATGGACCAACCAAACTTAAGTGGCTGTTTTCTTAAAATAAAGTTTTCAAAAACAAAGAGAAGAGAAAAATAAAAACTTTCTGCAACACTAGACCTTTCCACACTTTCGTTTCATTCGATTATGATTCGATCTGAAAGGTACTCATCACTGGGTTTGGTTTTGGGGAGACACAAATGGGTGTCTACAGAAGCCCCCACTTTGACTGAGTTTGGAGAAACGCAAGTTTCAAAAACAAAAGTCAAAGTATCGATAGGGACGAAGAATGATTCAGAATGTTCTGCGATCCTAAATCAATCTGGTAACACCGATACCTGCAAACTAGCGTTAGTTAAACAGATAAAAGAGTTAAGAAATGCGTATCTTGCACCGTCGAGCACACGTCTCTGAAAGTAACCGATTGGTTGCCGCTGTTTTGATGACCTCCTGCAAGCTAGAGAATGCCATTCCGCTTGAAAACCGTTATGCCCGTAACCGCTTCCAAATTAGAATATTGCTTCGCCTGAAACTATCCTCCTCCGCAATGATAATATTCCACGTCCAAGGGAATACTATCGAAGATTATTTCTCTTGAAACAATCCTCATCCGCATTGATAATATTCCACATCCTAGGGAACACTATCGAAAATTATTTCTCTTGAAATAATCCTCAGTTTTTTGTGACAACTCTCCGCAAGCTAGGGAATGCCGTCGAAGATATCCTCACTTGAAGTCATCCTCATTTGATGCGATAATTTCCCAAAGGAAATTACCGAAGACCCACTTCTGTCGATCTTTAAAAGTTTGCCTGAACTTTGCTTCCGCTATGCCTGTATGTCGACACTTCTATTGCTTTGAACCTGTACGTCGGTGCTTTTGCTGTGATGACAATCCTCTTTTCTTTGGGAATAGTTTCCAACACAACTCTTGTATGATGTATGACAATCCGATTTAGGGAAAGTTGTCAAT